AACAGTTAAAATGAAGCTAAGAATATTAAAAAACTTGAATTTCGAGCGTCATTTTATGCTCTTTCCAAAGCGAGAAGCTGAGTAAACATTTAGAGAAGTTTAAGTAAAGCATATATTAAATATACAAATATCTAATGGAAAAGTTAAACTGATGCAAAGAACATTTGAAAACTTGAATTTTGAGCGTCATTTTATGCTCTTTCCAAAGCGAGAAGCTGAGTAAACATTTAGAGAAGTTTAAGTAAAGAATATATTAAATATACAAATATCTAATGGAAAAGTTAAAATGATGCTAAGAATATAAAAAAAACTTGAATTTTGAACTTCATTTTATGCTCTTTCCATGGCGAGAAGCTGAGTAAACATTTAGAGAAGTTTGAGTAAAGCATATATTAAACATTAAACAACATTTAGAGAAGTTTAAGTAAAGCATATTATATAAATATAATCCTAATGAAACAGTTCAAATGATGCAAAGAACATTTAACAACTTGAATTTTGAACTACATTTAATGCTCTTTTCAAGGCGAGAAGCTGAGTAAACATTTAGAGAAGTTTAAGTAAAGCATATATTAAATATATAAATATCTAATGGAAAAGTTAAACTGATGCAAAGAACATTTAAAAACTTAAATTGTGAGCGTCATTTTATGCTCTTTCCATGGCGAGAAGCTGAGTAAACATTTAGAGAAGTTGAAATATAATATAAATATCTAATGGAACAGTTCAAATGATGCATACCTTATTAAAGAACATTTAAAAACTAGTATTTCGAGCGTCATTGTTCGACGATTGTATGCACATAATAAATATAAACATTTGCCTTGTTTTAGATGAGCTAATCAAAATGCATATTCGCCCATAAATATTATCATTTGCTTTTTTAACTAATGAACCGAAAACAGGTTCCGTTCGTCTGTTTCTAACTAATTTGCAAGCATCGCGAGAAGTTCGTTGATTCCCTAATAGACCATGCGATACGATCTGCCAACTGTTGTTGCTGCTGCTTCTGCTTCTTCTTCTTGTTGTTGTTCTTCTTCATTATGGTTGGGTTTTATGGCCGATTGCTGCCATTAACTGACATTAAGAGGCATTTACATTTCTGTAAATACTTAGACTCCGCTCTGTCCGGACAGTTGAGCATCTGATTTGCATAGCGTCCAGAGATCAGCCGATCTGCATGGGGTCCATTGTGGCAAAGCTTATGCCCGAGCGCATAATATGCAAACTATGTTAGGGCATTCGACTGCCGCAGCACAAAAGAAATGCGCATTGCCATGTAACCATGTAAATGTAATAATAAATATTTGTTGGCTTTTGTAGCGCAGTGTTTTTTTTTTTCTTTCCTTTGTGTTTTTTTTTCGATACCCTGTAGCCAGCGTGAGTGTGCTGAAATAGGGTATGTTGGGCTTGTGAAAATACTTAAGCATTTCCAATTTCATAACGATCGGACAATAAATACCGAAGTTACCTAAGAATACAATTATTGGTACTAAGGTAAAGAGCTAGAGGCGAGTCCAACTTGTGCCTGTCATCAATCTATACACAGGGTATCTCCGAGTCATGCACTTTCGACTCGAGCTAGTTTTTGCCTTTGTTGTTCTTGTATTGCTGCAAATTTGCTTGTCGCATTCTGCGGCTGTCAACATTTGCTGCCTGTTTGCCTCTCTGTCTAACTTTCTGCCTCTCTGTCTGCCTCTCTGTCTGTCCGTCCGTCTGTCCGGCCGTCTGTCCGTCTCTTTCTCTTTTTGTGCGGCTGTCCCTTTCGCTGTTTGTTGATTGTTTTTTGCATTTAATTTTGCATTACTTTTGTTGCGATGTTGCAGTTTTGATTTCTGCTGCCAGCCAGCAAAAAACAAAGGGCATGGTCTCGTTTTTTCGAATGTGTTTTTCATCTGTCGCCTTTGTTTATTCATGCAAAGTTTTGTGTTAGCTTTGTTGTGTGTGTTTTCTTTTTGTCGTTCAGTACTTTCACTGCTCGTTAAAAGCGTGCAACAAATGTTTTTAATGGTCCTAGGTAGCCCACCCACAGGGCGGGCAGCTGGCCAAAAATTGTGCTGGAGCTGTAGCTGGAGCTGCCTTTTGGCCAGCGGGTTGCATCTTTCACCTGTCCGTCAAGCACATTATGAGCACAATTATAATCATTATATGTTGTTTGATTTCTGTGCTCAGACGAAAGCGCAAAAATTTTCCTAATGAAGCCGGCAAATGCAGCTATGGCCATGGCCAGCTGCTGCTGCTGCTGCTGTTTGACTTTTATGATTTCTTATTGCATGGCGTTTATTATGGACAGCAAATAGAAAACACGACAGCAAAACGAGAAAATCAATAGAAAATCCCCCTCAACTTACAAGCTGTAAATGAAGTGTGAGCAGGTGAGCCAGGTGAGCCGGAGGTGAGCCGGGCATGCTGGTGGGTGAGCTCCCTCCGCTGCCGCAACGCTGATCTATGTGCGTATGCCATAAATCGTAACAATAACAACATGACCACTTGGCCAGACAACTGGCAGACAAACCCGCAGCAGCAGCTGCAAAAGATGGAGCCAAGACATGGACGGGCGATTTCACTTGACAGGCGCGACCACAGTCAGATAGAGAGAGAGAGAGAGAGAGAGGAGGGGAGGGAGAAGCGACTGGAGCGACATAAGCAAAGCGTTTGGCTTCACTTCTGTCCAAGCGAACATTTCCCTCGACTCGTGGCTGTCCAAGCGCAATGGAAAAATGCCATTTCCACTTCAAAAACAGCCCAGCGAGAATTCCGAAGATTTCAAGTATATAAAGGCTTTAAAAATGCTTAAACTAAGCTGGCATCAAGTTTGATTTACGTAAAAAAGCAGACTTTTCTTAAGAGAAAAACACTCTCAAGCATATGCATGCTTTGTTTAAGCATAAAATGTCTTCAGCTTGTGAAATTCTGCCCCTTAGTCTTGTATATGGAAAGTACTTAAGCTATGAATTCTGAAGTTGACCTACAAAATACTTTTTACCAGAACTTGCAAGCTTGAATTAAGCCAAAAAAGACTTCAATTTACATTGAACAAAGAAAGAACTGTCTTGAATTGTTGTATTGAGAAATTACGTGCATTAAGAAGTTAAGAAAATGTTTGATCTAGAACATACTCATGTACCACAAACAAATACAAGCTTGACTAAAGCATACAGAACATTAATTTAAGTCAAATATATTTTAAGCTAGGAACTCTGCCGTAAGCCTAAGTTTAAGGAATAAGGCTTGAAAAAACAAAAAGAAGTTTAATTTAAATAAAATACATCTTAAATTAGGAACTCTGCATTTGAGGAGCAAGATTAAGAAACAAGGCTTGAATTAAGCGAAAAGATCTTTAGTTTAATTAAAATATGTCTTCAATGAGGAACTCTGCGTCTTAAGGCCTACATGGAATGCGAATTTTCTAGTCAGTTTCAGCAAATGTCGACTGAACTTTGCCAAGTTTGTACTTAATTTTAATACAAAATACCTTGTCCATCACTGAGCAGTGTCCACTGTACTTTATCTGCCATCCCATTTTCCAATTGTTGTTGCAACATGAGAAATGCGGAGCTGCTCGATGTTATCACTGGGGAGAACTCCATGTTCCAGGCGAATCTCATTTATTTGATATTCGAGTCCCTGCCTGAAATATTGTCGCACACACACACACACACACACCAACACACACCAGCACACAATACACAACTCATAAAAAGCCCATTTATAACTGTTAACTTGTACAAAAGTATTTACAGGCGATTTAGCCGCTCACCGAATTACAACCAGCTCACAATTGCAATTGTTTATTTGTGTTTTGTCGCACCACCAACCCACCTCCACCACCCTCTCCTCCCACCAGTGGGTGGTGCTGTGCTCTGGCAACTTCTCTGCCACTTTTGGGAAGCAATAAAAAGTGTTTTTGTTGTTGTTTGTACAATGTTGTTTGTGTTTTTGTTTTTGTTTGTTAGTCGTTATTGTTGCTATTATTACAGTTGTTGTTGTTGTTTTTGTTTTTGTTGTTTAGTGGCCAACACAGCTGCTGCTGACACGCACAAAAATTTCCAATGCACAAAAACTCAAGTGCGAAAAATACGAGATATATATATATATATAAATGTGTGTGTACGTCCATTTATATAAATGTATTTATGTACTCTATCATAGCGAGAAAAATGGGCTGCCTTTGTTCTATGGCTGAATAAGTTTCGTCATCAGCAGGCGGACTGTGCTGTTAACTGACACTCGGTCACGGGCACAATCAGGTGCCAATGGGCCTCTACAGTAGACACACCAAATAAAAAACTCACGTGCGGTGGGCATAGGTTTAGAAAGGCACAAATAAACAGAGTCTAATTGCTTTAAACAAGAGTCACAGCCAAAGATTCTGATATTGAAATGACTGTAACTTTCTGGGAAAGGCAGAGACCTGCCACGAAAAAAAAAAAACTCTAGAGCTGCTTAACATTTACTTTGAGGCCTTTTAAAAATTGCCTAGAAAGGTAGCAGCTGCTGTCAGACTTTCACATCTCTTTAATCTCTTTTCTTTTTGGAAAAAAAAAACTTGAGTTTGTTTGCGAAATTGCATGCTGCAAATCAGAAAGAGACAGCGAGACACTCGTGAGAATCGCATAGAGAGGCGGCCGTTCACCGCAGCAAACTGTCACGTTGTGTGTGTGTGTGTGTGAGTTTGTTTGTTTTAGACTTGCAATGATTACAAAAAATATTTAAAAAAAAAGAAACAATAATATTTGCATTATGTTTTATCTGCTGTCGCACAGGTCGTGCAGCATTTTTTATACACACACACACACACACACACACACATATATATAAAGGTGTGGAGTTTTGAAAGCGCATTTTGAAAGCATTAAATTGATGTCACCCTGCTGGCCATTGTTGACTTTTATGCGTTTGGCGCTGTCAGCGCAATATTCCGTATTGATTTTGGTTTTAAATAATAAACTATAGTTTTATTCTATTGTTGTTTTTTTCTTTTCTCTGTCTCTTTCTAGCACTGCGGACTGCGCTTGAAGGCCAGACGATCGATAGGTAAGTGAAACAAAGCATTTTATACCCTGTTTTTTTTTGTTGTTCTCTCTGCTGCTTATTAAAATGTTGGCAGGCACTTTAAAAATGGAAAACCGCATGCACACAGGCTGCTGCAGCATATGGTATTTTTTTCTTTCTCCAGAATTGGGACAACAAGACGCATAAATAACCAACATGCCAACAGATAGATAGAGAGTATATGGGATAGAAAGCAAGAAAAACGAAGCGAAAACTCGGTAAACTCGGAAAACTGCAGCCAGCACTTAGAATAGCAAACAAACAGGCGACAGAGACAAAGTCTGAGGCGAGATTAGACCGGGCAGCGGGAGGGGCAGGGGCAGGGTAAAGGTATTGCAGCTAAATACAAATGCGACTGTGTCAAGATGAGACGCAAAGCGATGCTACCCCATAACCCCCCGCCTCCCCCCCTCCAATATCCTCTTGCCATTGGCATTGGGCAAAAAGAAAGCGCCGCAACGCCTGGCAAAACAGTTACCGGTTCTCAGACAGACGGACAGGTTTACTTTTCCGTTGGGTACGCTAACCGTGAGTGTGTGTATGTGTGTGTGTGTGTGCTGGTGTGTGTGACAAATCAAGCGAGAAAAAAGCCGGTGCGAGAACCGCGCGAAACGTCAATGGCCAGCAGAGCAGCTGGAATTGCCGACTAACCAACTGCAACCACAAAGAAGCACTCGCTAGAGATGGGAGCGTGATGCATTCTTACAGGCAGGTCACACTGGTGCGGGTCGAAGCATAATATAAGGTATCATAAGAAGTATCGAACGATAGGGGAGTAAAGAACTACCAAGCAGCTACAAAAGAACCTCCATAGAACCCCGATAGAAGCAAAGAACCACTAAAGAAACACAAACGAACTACTGAAGAACCACACAACCCAAAGAACCTTAAAATAACTACTTTAGAAGAAGTCAAAGAACCACTAAAGAATTAGAAAAGAACTAGAAAAGAAGCACTAAAGAACCTCTGAAGAACCACAATCGAAACAAGTCAAAGAATCACAAAAGAAAAACTACAAAAGAATCTTAAGAGAACCACTAGAGAAGCTCTAAAGAATTAGTATAGAAACAAGTCAAAGAATCACAAGAACTACAAAGTACCTCAAAAAAACTACTTTAGAAAAAAAACGGTGAAAAATTCTGTATGAGTCGGAGTCTATGACTCGTTGTGTGGCAAAGCAATGCAGCAAACCAAAACGATTCGATTCCGGAACTTCAATCTATTTCGCAGACAACAAACGAACCTTAAGCCGAACCGAATGAATGATTTGGTTCAAACTAAAAACTTTTGAGGAAGAGTTAGTACCAAAGCAAAAGTATCTTTTAGACAATTTGAGAATGTGGCAAGTTAAGATTTGAACCACAGCTAGGTTCATGGATCAGGCAAAATTGGCGCTCGAGCCGAACTTCAAGACAGTTAAACAATTGGTTAGAATCGTAAACCAAATTACAGATAATATATTATGATAATATAATATAATCTTTATTATGTTTTTGCTTCAATTGAAATTCAATTCAAATTTGTCTTAACAAATAACTAATCTTGGGTTTATTTAGCTAAGGTTTCTGTTCGTGTCACGCGACGTTTAAGCGTGTCACGAGACGCTTGCAACTCCGATGCACGCTGCGGCGTAATGACTACAGGAAATTGAAAAACTTGCCAGTTGCGGCTCTTTTTGTCGTCGTCGTTGTTGTTGTTCTTGTGGTGTTGTTCGGCTGCTGTTGTTGCATTTTCTTTGCGTTTGGCCCTGTCAGCTCGGCGTTTGCTGAAAAACTCCCCTCGGCACCGAGTTTAGACGGTGTCAGAAGCCAAGCACTTGGCTTGTTTTGCGTTCACACCAAACGAGCGTCCGTCCCAGCAGTAGAAGAAACAGCAGCTCTTTGATGATTTATGCGCCTTTATTGCTTATCGCTTAAACTTGGACTTAAACTAAAAGTGCTTAAAGTCCCGGACGGGACCAACTAATCTATCTTAAACGGGCTGCGCTCTATTCTGGCACGTCTCGGCGCCTGTCGAGCTGTCGCTGCCTGTGCTGCTGCTGCTGCCTCAGCTGCTGCTGCTGTTGCATGTTGTGCTCCAATATATCTCGATATTCGCGCTCACGATTTAGTGCAGTCCACTGCTGATAGTCGGGCTCCTCCAGCTTCCATTGGCAACGCTCCAGCCAGATCAGCTCATTTGTCAGCCGCAGCTTGGTGCTCGCAATTCGCATCAGGCGACGGCAACGCCTCGGGCGACCCAACTCCTGACGATGCATATACACTGCATAGCCAATGGACTCCATAATCCTTTCTCCGCACTTTGATATTTGTGTGTCTGTGTCGGCGTCTGTCTGCCACATGATGTGCTTCCGTTGCGTGTCTCTGGCCAAATGATGCAATCTCTGCCCTGGCGCCCCCAATTTAAACACTCGCAGGTAAATTGGCAAACAGCCTCTCAGGATTTGACTATCAATGGCGCACGTGTTCGCATATGCGTAACTCTTTACAGGTAGCAGCTTTTCAACTCAAGTCAGAACAGGTCAAATTGGATGTACAGGCAAAAAAGGTATATATTGAATATATCCTTTTTTAAGCTGAGGTCGGCTTGGGGAAGGGCTGATAAATTTTAAGACAAATATCACATAGACAAACTATTCAAGGAGTTTTTGTCTTTGAAGCTCAACAAAGTTTGAATATCGGAAATAAATGTAGAAATATTGAAATATAGAATTCGACAACCTTTTTAAGCTGATGTTGGGAGGGGAAAGAGCAGGGAAATACTATTTTAATATCACATAGAAAGACTTTTCGGGAAGGTTTCGTCTTAAAAGTTTAACTAAATTTTGTATATCATCAATAAAAGTAGAAATAGCTAAATAAAACAATAGACATCCTCTTTGAAGCTGAAACTCGGTAAGATTTTGCCTTTAAAGTTCAACTAAGTTAGAATATCACGCAGAAATATATCAAGAAATAAACAAATATTAAAATACACATCTTTTAAGCTAAGGAGAAGCATGGGAAATAGTAGAAATACTTTTTCAATAACTATCATGTTGGCAGAATTCTCGAAAAGAACTCCTATTGAATGTTCAGCTTAAATTGACTTGGTCGTAAATAAATAATATGAATAGGGCTTTGCTTTTAATGAACCAAATCTTTATCCAGATGTGCTGACAGTCGAAACCAATCTTAAACCGAACTTCTAAAAGCTGCTAATATTTTTTTTATAAAATATTTTTATAATATCTGACACTATAATTAGAATATTGTCTGATTTTCGGTTCATTGAATATGAACAGTTTTAAATTTTCGAAGCAGTTACAAATTCAAACATAGTTTTTATTTAATATAAACTCTGTTAAATTTGAAAATTGTGACAAGACTTTCAAAGTGCAGGAAATAACTTTGATGTTCAAATTCCTATTCCCTATTATTTTTATCTGTTGAGGTTTCCTTTAGAACTCATATGTTTTTCTTAAATGGTCCAATTTCTCTTCCGGGTTGCATTTGTATCTTGGCAATGTTAACTTCTGCGCATGGGCATAACATTTTTATGGAACATTTCCTGCTGTGTCTTGATCTCTGAGATACATGCGTCTAATTGGCTGGACAGTCAAGTTTATGCTTCTATTTCGTCTGGCTTAACTCTTAAACCTTTATAATCTAATCACATCCTCCGCTGTTTACAATGCACACACATACAAATCTATGGCTAGCGGGAAAAACTAACGCTCTTTGGCCATGTTTTTTTTTCTTTCTTTTTATGCGCTGAATGCAGTAAAAATGGGTATAAAGGGTATCGTGGCCTTGTGCAAGATTATGTAACAGGCAGACGAAGGCAGCTGCGAATCGATTAATTATATGTATTGAGCTCAAAAGCAACAGAACTGAAAATCAAAATATATATATTTTCCTTTACCTACTCGAAAAGAGTTTATGATTCTCCTCAACTACAAAAGCAACAGAATTGAAAATCAAAGAGAATATTCTCAAAAGGAGTTTTGTCGATATTTCCTCACATTTTGATAATATCGATAAATATCGATATTGAGACATGTTTTTCTAGGCATAACTCGAGAAGAATGAGAACTAGATACGCCTTACTTAGTATCTAGGTGCTCATATTGTGTAAAGATCTTTTCACTTTTTGAATATCTTCCCGAGTTTCTACTCAAAATTGCAAAACAATTTTTCCTAAAAGCAGCAGCTTCACACTTGAGCTTATTGAGAATAAGGCTCGACTGGTTGCAATGGCTGCCTTTAGTTTGAGGGTATCTCGTAGTCGTGCACTCCCGGCTAAAGCCCTCTAACTAGCTGTTTTTTCTCGCTGTCCCGCGGCAGAGATGCGACGCTGTTGCTGCTGCTGCTGTTGCAGTTGCAAATGCGCTTTGCATGTTGCTGCTAATTGGCAACAGTTGTCGATGGCAGAGTTTTCTTGCTTTGGTTCTAGCCTCGTTTTCGTTTGGTTGCGTTGCGTTACGTTTTGGACGTGGATTGCATGATTAATGGAAAGCCGTTATGCTTTTACGAGCAGCGGGCTGCGAGCTGCTTCACAACAGCTGCCATGTAATTTGAGCGCATGCGCCGCTGCCTCTGCCGCAGTCGCAGTCGCAGTCGGTGCCCGGGTCTATTGCATAAGTCGGCGTCGCAGTGGCAGCACCTCCATAAAACTGCGCGCAAGAAACAATAAAACACCAGCAAATTAGAAATTACCTTTTATGTGCGATACGAGAGAAACAAAAACACACGCAAAAAAAAAAATGGTAACAAATTTACACACAATGAGCGCTTGGCCGAGCCGGGGCAATAGCTGGAAGGCCTGCTGGCGATGCGTGCATTACGTCAGCATCAGACGCCTCATTAAGGCGCTCCGTAAATCGGAACTATATACTATATATATATGCCCTGTGTGAGGCGGAAATTAAGGCGTTCCCAATGGGCGCTCGCCGTGCACAGCTACAGCTCAAAGATACACAAAGATACCGAGATACAGAGCTGCAGATACAAATGTATCTGCACGCTAGTTTTGCATGTTGAGCGATTTCCATTTATTGGCATTGTATCTCCTCGTGCTAATTAACCCACGGGCAGAGAGTGTGAAGTGGTCATAAATATAAAGATACAAAAGGGGAGAGTGTAAAGAGATAAATCCAAATAAATACGAAAAACTTGTACTTTTACAGTCAGCTGATGCTCGGAACTTTGTCAGCTGCTGTTGCATTACAGTTTTATATCCGACAATACGCAAAAATATAACCGACAGCAGTACACCCCGCCTCCCCTCATACTCCCCCGCCGGCGTAGCGAGAATAACTTTTGGGTCTGGCACGAAAAATTGTATTTTTGGTAACATAACAGAAAATTGCAGCTACAAAACTACATGGAACAACAAAATATGCAACAACTCCATAAAACTGGCCACATCAAAATGCACATAAATAATAAAAATAACCAAGCGAAGGACCAGCAACAGGAACCGACCGGCACACAAAACAAAACAAAACCGAACTGAACGCTTCAGAATGGAGCATCATCATCATCATCATCATCATCGTCCAAAAGCCGGGCACATTTTTCGGCACTGGGCTTTTGTTTCGACAACTCCCCAGCAAAATAGAAAAAAAAAAGAAAGACTCTTAATAATAGAAAGGGAGAAATTATGAAATTAATTTTCAAATTTTAATTATGCAACAGTGGCTGCAACATGTAAATTGAACAGAATATCAAAAGTTAGCAACCAGACACCAGACACCAGCTGCAGCTATGCGTGGTCTCTGCGGACAGCTTTTATACTCTTGTCGAGTGTTTTATTATGTTGTCAGGAAATATGTAACGTTTAGTAGGAGACAACTCCGAGTATATTAAGTATACATATTCCTGATCAGTTTTGAGAGTCGAATTCCAGGTTTTATAGGAGACTAGAGAGAGAGAGAGAGAGAGAGAGAGAGAGAGAGAGAGAGAGAGAGAGAGAGAGAGAGCAGAGAGAGAGAGAGAGAGAGAGAGAGAGAGAGAGAGAGAGAGACTAGAGACAAAATGTTGAACATGGACGCTTTTAGTGTGGGAAAACGGTTTACTTTCTTTGAACCATCGATAACTCGCCCAGGTCGATAATAATCGATATCGAAAAACTGTTCTTTGGGAATATCTTGGAGCCAGGGCTTATAGGAAACTAGAGATTTAAAATGTTGAATATAGACGCCCCTCGTGTGCCAAAAGATCGCCTTTATTTTGAGACATCGATAACGCGCCCGGATCGATAGGAATATTTATCGAAATACTGTTCTTTGAGCATGTATTGGAGCTCACAAGAGCTAGAGACATGTCAGATAGGTTAAATATTGAGTTCGATTGGATATACACAGATCTATAATGTTTTACTTATTCGATACATTTCGGGAGATATATCCGGGAAAGAAAAAAAGGAATTTAAAGAGGAATAGCTTAGGACTTTGGTATTCCAATACATTTTGTTGCCCAATTGACAATTTCAAACCATTTGGATAATAAACAGCGTAGTTATAAAAGCAAGTACTAATCATAGTCTGCAGCTCAGGAAAGAAGAATCATAGCCTCGGCGCTGCTTGCAGGGCATCTGCTAGTCGGACACTCCCGACTTGTTCCGCACATCGATACATTCAGTTTTTGGAGTTCGGCTTCTGTTTCATTTTTGGTTTCAGTTCTAGTTGAGAGTCCGCCACAGTTGCTGTCATTAAATTGTGTGCACGCACACTCTTAAACCTGGTTAAGCAACACACACACACACACACGCACACTCTTACACACATACCAGCTTATGTGCGTGCCGTGGGAATCTATGTGAACGGCTTGACCACCGCTGCTCAACTTTGATTAGAGTTAAGCCCTAAATTAGTTGCCGCTGCTGGACATTGGCTGGCGACCTTTTGGGCCTCAAAGCCAGCGTTGTGCACCTTTTGTTGTGGGGCATAATAATACAGTCATGAAGTTTGCGACATACACAGACGCATTTATAAGACCATGAATCGTAAATTCTTAATTAGCATGTCGAGATGTCTTGATTTAGTGTCTGGCACGAAGCCGTTTTATATGATTAGCATGGCTATAAGAATTCTAAGCTATCTAATCTGATCTATATACCAACAGTTTCTACTGTATAAAAACCAGTTCTCGTCAGATCTTAATCTCTATAATTAATATTAATATATATAATTAAAAATGATAATCGTTTTGTCAAAAAACTGAGTTATTGCAGCTCAATTTCCGTTCTATTCCTTCTATAGAAGTTATATATTATAGTTTTGTATACTTTATATAGATATAATAGTTTATATAGTTATATATAGTACATTATATATAATGTTATGATATAGTGCGATATTGGGAGAGTAAAGCATGGTTAGATCAAAAAGTGTTGCAAGCCAAAAGAATAGTTTTATAAAATCACAATTTTCCATTGATAGTTCCTATTGCAACTTTATGATATAGTACTGAGCATGAACAAGATTGTATACAAATATGGTAATGTGAAGACATACTGAAAAACGAACCGACTTTTCATGCTTTAACTCAGTTTATGAGCGTTAAGGCTAAGCTTGTATGGAAATAAACAGACAGACAGACGGACAGCCGGGCTCTATTATAGCCTTTGCCAACGACTTTATGATTGTTGCCCTCTTTAGGCCCATTCCTAGCTTTAACATGTTGAGAGTTGTAAGCGTCAAGTAATGAATAAAACAATGAGGGCATTAACAG